AGAATTTCCAAATTTCAAAACTTCAGAATCTCGAAATTTCGTAATCTCAGAGTTTCAGAATTTCCGAGATTCTGAAATTCAGAATCTCGAAACTTCAGAATTTGTGAATCCCATGATTTTAGAAATTTCAGAATTTCCGAATTTCCAGATCTCATAAGAGCCATAAAATTTCAGAATCTCAGAATTTCTTTTTTTCTCGAATTTCTGAATTTCTGATATTCTGAATTTCCAAATTTCAGAATCTCGAAATTTCTGAATTGGAGAATCCCATCATTTCAGAAATTCTAAAGTTTGAGATTTTCAAAATTTCGGAATTTCGAAATCCTAGAATTTCCAAATTTCAAAATTTCCGAATTTCACAATCTCAGAATATCAAAAATTTCGGAATTTCAGAATTTCAGAATTTCAGAATTTCAGAATTTCAGAATTTCAGAATTTCTGAATTTCTGAATTTCAGAATTTCAGAATTTCAAAAATTCGAAATCTCAGAAATCCTAGAATTTCAGAATTTCGAAAATTCGGAATCTCAGAAATCCTAGAATTTCAGAATTTCAAAAATTCGGAATCTCAGAACTTCAGAATTTCAGAATTTCAGTATTTCAGAATTCCGGGATTTCAGAATTTCAGAACTTCAAAAATTCAAAATTCCAAACTTTCAGAATTTTAGATTTTCATAGTTTTAGACTCACCCTTTTTCAAAACGGAGAGCGCCCTTCTTTTGAATTGGTTGGAATAATTTTTTTTTTTGAATATTTCAAAATCCTTCATACATAACCACGTCATCAAAAAAAACTAGGCGCTCACGTAGGCGTAGCACTTTTTTCTCACGTGAATTTTTAAAGTTCGTGACCTATTTTTTATGTACGCCAATCTCAGAATTTCGAAACCATCACCTGGAACCCTGGAATCCTGGAATCCTGGAATCTTGGAATTTCGGAATCCTGGAACATAGGAGTTCTAGAATCTTGAGGTTTCAAAATTCTGAATGTCTGGGATCTTAGAATTCTGGAATCTCGGAACACTAGAGTTTGAAACTCCCGAAATCCTGTAATTCTGGAATTCTGGAATCCTGGAATCCAGGAACCCTGGAATTGTGAAATTTTGGAATCCTGGAATCCTAGAATTCTGGAGTTTAAGAATCTCGGAATCTTAAAATCCTGGAACCCTAGAATTTTTGAATCTCTGAATCTTGGAATCCTGTCATTCTGAAATGTCTAATTCAGCCTCTATGATAAAAATGTGAAAGTACAAACTCAATCCAGGTTCATCCCCGTCTTTAAGTAAATCAGCAGAATTATGTAACAGCACTCCTGTGTTAGTACACTAAGTAGGGGTTTTTTAAATCACATCATCACTAAAAACAAAAAAAGAGATTTCAAATCATTATCTCTCGATATAATTCATCCGGCAGTATCAATTTCCATATTGACAAGGTAGGCGCAGAAGTTGTTGAACTGAGGACAATGAAGTGCACCGTCATAGCCTTGAATTGTACAAAAAAGTTGTAAATAACAAAAATGGAGATCTAGTTCTGTTTAGCATGTTCTGAAACTTTCAAACAAATCGGAAAACTCTGAACTATTTTTGTTCTTATTCAAAGTTTTTTCTGTTCATCGTTGTGGTTACAAGTCCCAAACAAACGGTTGATTTGAGCAATACTGGAATATGCACATACTCATCACTTATCATCACTCATCACTTATCAACTGGCGAATGACTGTTAGTTGGCAGCCGAAGGAAAACTGATGGGCCGTCGACGGTCCGTCGACGGACAGTCGGAACTCGTTGGAAAACAGACTTGAAGGTTTTGATTGGAAATCATTCAGAAAACAATTTCTCATACCCCCCACTAGATTATAGGAAATGACAGAATCTTATTTTCCTAAAATAGGACCACCTCAAAAAATAGGTTGTTGAACGACTGCTGAATGGCAGTCGAAGAGGCGCTGACTGGTCATGACCGGTGGTTGGCGGGCCAAATTTCTGCAGAATGGAAAATTTGGTTGAAAAAAGATGTTTCTCTTAAAACATGATAAAAGTCATAGAGGGATCTGGGAATCTATAAAATGTGTTATTAGAAGCACTTCTACGAAAATTAGAATCTGAGGCGCGATTTCTCGTCTAATTTTCACAGTTTTTTTTTCGTTTTTCGAAGTTTTTCTCATTGAAATTCAGTATTTTTCGCTCAAATTATCTNAATACTGGCATTAGAAAAACAAAAACATTCGCGCACTTTCTTTCTCGCGTTTTAGTTGAAAATGCGAAAAAAATCGGTAAAAACTTGTTTTGCCATAAGTTTCTAATGTTTCGCAATTTTTTGCTTCGGAAAGTAACAAATTTAACGTTGCAGAAATTTTTTTGTGGTGAGTTGGTGAGTTTTTGTATGCTCCGAAGCAAAAACATATGCTCCGAAGCAAAAACTATCGAAATCTCTTAACTTTCTCATTCTGTTGCCGAAAATTCGCCTTGCCGACAATTCGCAAGTGTGATGTTTTGCAAGTGCTATGGAAAGTAACAACTTTGCAAGGTTCGCGCATGAAAAGTTGTTCGAAAATCTGTTGCTTTTTCTGCTTCCGGTTGGCTTTTAAAATATCACATGCGATATGTCGAACTTTTGAAGTCTCTGCTAAAAATGTCGCTAAGCCTTAAACATGTAGAGATTTTTTATATGCCAGTTTTTTGGGTGCTCAATTCATGTTACGAACTCATCAATTTTACTTATTCTGAAAGAAAGTCATATAAAAGCGGAAAATACTGTTCAATGAGAGAAATGCTGAGAACCGAAAGAAATTGAAAACGAGAAACGAAGAAGGAAAAAAGAACGAAAGGAACGAGAAAAAAATCTTCGCATTTTAAAATTTGAATTTTTATAAAGTTGGAATTTTGTGAAAACACAAATAGAAAATCGAAGTTCTGTTCCCTATAGAATGTGTGATCTCTTATGTGTTTTCTCTCATTCTAATCATAAAATTTCAACTTTGAAAATTTTGGAGTTATTTTTTCAATACAATACACAATCCACAGAAACTATTAGTTTAATAAAGAATTCTATCGTTTATTACCTGTTTAATGATGAACTGTCAAGAAAGCGCTATCATTTTAGACGGTCCGTCTTCGAAGCGCACATCGTTGCAGACGGACCGTCGGCGGCGCGCGATTCGACTGCCGACTGTTCGCTTTTCGGCAGTCCGCGCCCCGCCCAGAACGGGCCGTTTTTCGGCAGTCCCCCTCTACCTGTGAAATGTGGAAGCGTGGTCGAGTGGTTAGTGAGGAGGAATATAAAGCGGGTACTCTCTGGTTCGACTCCCTCGACCTGCTAAAATTTTTCTGTATTTTTTCATTGTATTTTTCCGGTGGTTGTATCGGACAAGCGTGAGCAAGCAAAATGAGATTAAAAATCCACGTCATTTTTCGAAACTACTGACCCAATTTTCTCGTAAACTACAACGACATTGCACTTTTTAAAAACAGATTTGGAACCAGGAGAATGACAGCTTTCAGATGATATAGGTCACCATGCGTATCGCCACACCCGAGTTGGGGCCTTCCCTAGTTAGGCAAATATAAGAGACAATTCAGAAAACCTAAATATTCGATTCCTAGCCAAAACGTAAAGAAGTAACAGAAAAGCAAATGTAAGCAGCGGAAGGAATAATAATAATCCTAGTGTGGCAACAGTTTTCTTATCATATCATATTTACCTTAACAGTTCTGGCAAACATCTAAAGACTCTGATAGTTGGAAGAGAAATCAGAAAACTTTTCAAAAAGAAAAAAAAATTCAGATGGATTATTGAAATTTCTGGAGATCTTGAATTTTATTTTTCCGATGTGGTAACTAGTGGTTGATCGTACCAGAAACATTCCCGATGTTCTATTTTTCTTTGTAAACTTTTCGGCATAAAAAACACTTCAATAGTTTACTGACCTTATTTATTCAAACCAAAATGTTTAATTAATTACAAAAATCCCCTAAACAAAACAAAAAAGTTCTCATTGAAGGAACTTTCGAACACATTTCTCATCCTCCACATTTACGAAAAACATTCGATGAATTCCAACGTCCGTATTCAAAACTTTTGTAAAAATGTATCTCTTATCATCCAGGATTCGAAAAACGAAATCATGAAAAACTTGAGCTCCTGGGGGATTGAATTTCGAATGAACTTCCAAATTGAATTGACAGATTACAATTCCTTTTTCATCCATTGGTCCACCTCGATAGAATTGGTCCAAGAACTCGAATTCTCCACCTTCAATGTCAATCCAGGCTATGTCGATTTGCTGGAAATAAATTAGAAATGACTTTGGAAGATTCTGAGAGTCGGGATTTTGAATTTTAAAGCAGAATCTTATAATAGTTTTTGATTATTGCTGGAAAGTTA